AGGGCTTCGGGTTGAGGGTTTAGGGGTTTCGGGTTTAGGGTTGAGGGTTCAGGGTTGAGGGATTTTACGGTTCCTTTATGAGTTACACTGGGGATTACCATGGGAGCTACGTGTAAGGGTTACCAGGAAGGGCACCATGTTGGTATGAAGTTTTGCAACAACTCTTCTGGGATCATAACCCGGAACAAGGGGGTACTCTAGGTCCCCACACAGTTCTACTCTTAGATCAGCAAACCAAGCCAAGACCAACGATGCTGAGCCATCGAGGTGTGCTCATCTCAAGAAACAAATTAAAGCTGCAAATGGGGGGTTTCTGAAAATAGGGGACCCGAATATAATACCCTAAATAATATGATCCTTAATATAAGGACCCCAAAAAAGGTACCCCTAATTTTCGGAAAATCCCAAATAGGCCCAAATCCTGGATGGCGGCGCTTCTGGTGGATGTTTTGCAGCAAGAACAGCGCAATCCCAGTTTGGAGGCTCGCTGTGAAAATTTCGCGAATTGGGCCCATTGTCCTATATACTGGATTTCATAAACTCGTCACACTCAAAATAAAAGTTCAAGTCCGACGGCCTACTGAAAAAGAGCTCCCGGTTTCACATGGAGCTTCGGTTCATGTTGGCCCTTAGTTTCGAACCTGTCTATCTACACGGAGACGGAGCCGTGGAAAACCGCACCTGCAGCTTAGAGAACCAGCGGCAAAGCATATTTAGAATGCAGGCCCCAAACAAGCAAATCGCAGCTTCGCCCAAATCGCCTCGCACGTTCCAGAGGGGAGCACTAGCCAGAATGAGTTTATAAAGGCACCATGGATGCTTGAAGACCGTGCAACTTTTCAGCCAACATCATTTAGGGGACTGACTCACTGACTCGTCGTGAAACCCACAAATCCAATATCCCCGAACAGCTGACGATCCGGGTGGTCCGACTGGGAGAATCAGGTTGCACCGGAAACCCCCTAAGTCCTAAAACCCAAAGCCCTAAAACCCTAAACCCTGAAACCCTAAACAAGTCCCAAGGCATTGTGGGCGCGAGGCCCTAAAGCCCAAACCTACCCTTGCACTATGGAACGCTTATACCCGCGACCTTTGTAGAACCCCCTGTAATATAGGGGCCTTACTAGTTTCAATAGGGTTTTGGGGTATGTTATGCTATACTTATAATAAGCAGCCCCCGAAATAGTACTGGTAATTATTCTGGTTCCCATATTAGAACCCTTACCCTAACCCTCCAGGTACCGACTATATAGGGCCCAAGGGGCTCTAGTACCCTATATAGTAGGTACCTGGGGGGTTAGGGTTAAGCCCTAAACCCTAAACCCTAAACCCTAAACCCTAAACCCTAAACCCTAAACCCTAAACCGTTTAAGCTTGAACCCCAACCCAGCACAGCCAGAGTTCTGCCAGGGCACTCCCGGCTTCAGCACCTCGTGGGACTTGGTCCCCGAAGTCGTGGCTTCTATCTGGAGAAGCCCCTGCAGGGTTTTAGGGTTCAGGGTTTTGGGTTCAGGGTTTTAGG